TTGTATTTATCGTTGGCGCTACATTAGACACAAACTAGGGTGATCCCTGTGAGACTTCATTTGACGTTTGTCATAGAGATGAGGTCGAGTCGATAGATATTCAGTATATATGATTTTTGAAGCAAAAGTTCTCCCTTACAGTTTTATTTTTCTGACGTATTTATTCTCAACGATGTATAATGTACGTATACGTGAAGTGTTTTCAATTATATTGAAGGCATAGACATACAAATTTCAAATGCAATTTCAATAGATATTTCAGAAAGTTTACTTATACAGGTTTGAAAAAAGTAATACCATTGACGTGTTAATTCATTGCCTATGATTAAAATTTATACTTTAACAATGAATACCCGCACTATTCAGTTATTCACTAAATTATCGAAAACTTTATTGATATAACTGATCTCTAGCAAATGCTGTGTAATGAAGTAACCTTTGCACTTTATCGTAAATATTAATGAATTTTTGAAAAAAGAACATTTATTTTTACTTTTAATTTAATATATTTACTTAAACAGAAGCTATTCATTTAAAAGCGAGGCTTTCAAAAATTGTTTATCAAATACGTAAATTAGTGCACGTCGTTACAAGGTTATATTGTATAGATTTTTATTAACTGTTACAGAGATCATCCTAGATTATTTTTAGTATAGGTACCGAATTTTGTACCATTTTACAAACCCAAAAAAGGCCAATACAGCACATGAAACCCAATAACTTTTACTACGCAAACTTACAAATTTAAAGCTTGTTAGAGAATATAGCTGTGAACAATAGAACACCCACGTTATTCAAATCGCATTACCGTGATGGTATAAAACACGCACGTGACTTGCTGCCTACATATAAGTCATATTTTATTCATACGTTGTACTGTATGTGATATAAGATTTAAGCAGCAGCAGAACTCCTTGTGAAAGAGTTCGTCCAGGAAAGTACTGCCACCATGCCTATTTCTGCCACCAAGCAATTAGCCTGGGAATACACTTCAGATTTCGAGTCTAATAGTCTCCGATTATCTGATCGTATTCACTCAATACACGTCCGATCCGCTCGCCAGACTTTTTCTGAACTCAGTTGTTCATACGGAGCAGAAAGAAAAGATGGACGACGAATTACTGTTGCTTATTGCATATTTGCTTGTTTTGTTGCAAAAGAAAAACCGTCGTCGACAATTGGACCCACAATAAAATCGCAAACGCCTCAGCACTATTTGAAATGCGCGTGAAAGAGATGAAATCGAAGTCCAAAATGTAAACAACGGCAATACCATAACAAAAAAGATTTAAAGAATAATGTAAACGTGGAAATATCTAAAAAAGAATGGAAGATGTTTAGTATTGTTCTTAAATTGTGCATGTACAAACAAAATATTATTCACTCATAATTTTAATTTAAAACGCCTTATTTAGTAAGATAAGCTCATTCCAGTGGAAAGATTTTATATCCTATTGGCAATGTTTCTGGAGTACACAACCTTTGACTGCCCTTTTAATTTATTCGATGTAGAAACACTAATATTTTTAAGCAGAAGTGTTATTAAGAATAGGTAAAGGGACTTAACGTGCTCTGTAGGAAAGCAATTTGTGATTTTAACACTGCCACCCTTTATTGTTATACCATTATTATTCATATAATAATAAATTATTCCCCCTAATTTATTCAGAGATGAATTTAGAGGTTTAATTAGGATGTAGAAAATGAAATAAAAAACCTAGCGTTTACTATGTCTTAAAAAATTGAAAGTGATTTTTTTTTACACAAAACAAAAACTGAAACTGATATTTTACTTTTCACCTAGCTCACACTTAAGCCCGCTCGCTACGGACGGCAAACGACTCGTTCATCTGACTCATCTCATTTCCCATCTAGCTCACTCCGCTTAGCCCGCTGGCAATGGAAAGCAAATACCTCTTTTCAGTGAAACTCTTTCCTAGTGGAAGGACAGAACTATTTTACTCTGCTCCTCTCAGGTATGTATTTCCCGTTCGTTACCCTTTCGCAGTAGAAGAATATGTCTTAGGTTGACGGGCGCAATAGCAGCGTAGTAGCAAAGTCTCTCAGATCATTTCGATTTAAAGTTTTTTTTTTTCATGATATAACAAGTGCGTATTTGACCTCCAACTCATCCGATGAAAAGTGACGATGAGGTCGACGACGGAGCATACACACCTAAATGATGTCTATTCACTCTCGCCTTGAAAAGGCCCAAGTTATAACGTTCAGGAATATGTCTGCTGGCAAGGAATTCTGAGTTGGCACTGCAACTGGTTACCGTGTCGCTTACCAGCAGGAGGCCGGTTTGTTCGTCCGTCACTTGATATCAAAGGTTTCAAACATAAACATTGGTTACACCGTTGTGTAAGTATACACCGTATGTCTGTGATCGCATGACGTGACTTTGGATGGGGGATTTCCTGCTTTCTCTAACCATTACGTAAAATGACGGATGATTCCAGGTACTTTCTCTTGGTTCGGCTCATTTTGGTTTGATCTTAGGGAGTGACCACACTTACCGATCCGGTATCGCATTACGTAGGTCAGAAAAAGCTTTAGGCCCATGTAGTTTTTGTAGCTGCCACGCAGTAATGTGAGCATTACTGAGTTCCTGTTTTGACTTGACTTTGATTGACTTTTCAACTAATGTCTCAGGGTGAGAGGCGCAGAGGAAGTGCACCTCAGATCTTTGCGATTTAAAGCTCTGAGTGGCACTGTAACTGTTATGATATGTTCGTCTCATGTAATAAGAGCTAAAAGACCCGTGCGTTTCGCGTCGCGCGAATCAAAAGCTAAACTTTATTAGATGGACATAACATAAACTTTTTCTAATCGGCTCAACTCGAAATCGCGTCGGCAAATGTGGTGCCATCCTAAGTACGAGTCTAATTATTTCCAAGAGCTTTCATACTAGAGCTAGAATACATGGTTGTCCAGAATACTGGTTATGGTGCTGGCAAGCCCTTGATTGTCCCAGATGGTAATTAATACTTAGCTTTATGTTAATTATAATACAAACGCAGACACCACAGTTTTTGAGGTGTTATTAATAGAGTGCTATTTTTGTAACTTTACGAGAATCTTTATTGTGAGTTTTGTCACACGCAATCGAAATGAGCTGTCAATGTCATTTCACAAACAAACGTCAACAACAGAAAACTACGTATATTAAAACTGGTATTATAAAATGCATAGTCTCAGTACAGAGTACTAAAAAAACCGACTTCAAAAGTACGTGGAGTTAAATCTATTTGCCAAGTTTTTTTTAAATCGGTTACCGGAAAGTGCGCAAACCCGGATTCATCCCCTAGTTCGCCACTATACGGGACTTGACACAGGAGATAATAAAAATCGGTTCTCACTACTCAAAGTATATTGAGAAAGAAAAACGCATTGAATTAGAGAATAGCAACATCAACCATTAAAATATTTGCTCCTTATAAATAGATTTAGGATAATTTTCTTCAAAATGAAATGGGACTACTATGGAGGTACCCCCTTTCCAACAAAAAAAAGAATCATGAAAAACGGTGCACAAATACCGAAGTTATCGCGTAACATACATACGAAAAAAACATACAGTCGAATTGAGAACCTCCTCCTTTTTTTGAAGTCGGTTATTAAGTAACTCTACCTGTTACGTTTTCACGCAATGATAGATATCATACATGTATATGTATATACATGTTTGTGTGTACATAGATATGTACTAGCGTACTAGATGCGGCGGTCAATGTACACGCTGTTTCACTGATGTGCGATGTAGACACATTTCAATATCATAGATTAATAAGCAAAAGAGTGTTCTGACTACACAATAACAAGAAGGGATAATATGAATAAAACAAATTACAATGGTTACCTAATTTTAAAAAATATAAAAAGATGCTGCATGGTCGAAAGATATTTGCCTTTGCGCAATCAAAAGTACATAACATAACATCAATAATTTCAACAACTCGACTGTAATTTTTTCGTTTAACTTAATTTGGTTTTCTTTTCCGTAATATACTTAATAATTATAAATAGTAAGCGGAAGGCCCATGGGTCAAAGCAAAATGAAATGTATTGAGCAACTAATAGCAACTTTGCCAGGGACTTTACGTTAATTCCTTAACCATGGGTAATTATCATTGGTAAACACTCAATATTATCCGCCTGCTTAGCTCATTCCCAATAGGTATAGACTGTCACGTCTGTCCACGGTACTACGGTACTGATACTCTTTGACAAAATTCAAAACTAAAACAAAAGACTATCATTATTGATAGTATTTTCTTTGGAACATGTAGTTGCTGTGAATGTTCTTGTTTAAAGATTGAAGTTGTTGTTTTCTCGCCTAAACCACTGATGGAAATTTGACGTATTTTAATCTAGAGATAGCTGGGAAGTTGGAGAAGGACATACGCTACCTTTTCCCACAAAAATAAATCTTAATGAAGTTGTGATAGGAGAGAAAATTTAAATGGAGGACCTATCATTTTTCAAGTAAGGGATCTGAAAATGTTTCAGCGTTTTTTACCAATTACCCCTGCAAGTAAAATAGGGAAAGAGTAGAGTCGATATACTTATTCTACGGTATTACACAAACAATGTATATTTGTCATAATATCGCACATTTCCGAAGACGTACCTAATGTAAAACTTGTATCGCTGTACGCAGCTGTCTACTATAAATTGATACCTCAGTGGATTGCTACGTAGAGCTCGTGAGGTATCAATTTAGACAGTACGGGGCATTGTCGTAAAACGAAACATCTCCGGTGTCCGGAACATAGAATATCCGGTTACGTCATTCAATGCTATAGTTGACGTAAAAAGAGGTATTTTTAGTGGATGTTTTTTAATTCGAAAGAAATATTTTCTGTTCTATCATCGCTCCTGTGCTGATGGTCGCGATCTAAAGTCACCTTTAATACACTTGCAATTCATTGCCGCATGAGAAAAATTATAAAATATAACCAATGAATGTTCAGTGAAACTATAATCCGAAATCCTACCTTCGCTCATGAAGTACGGTATCCTGAATCTTCCAGAGAGCACCCTGTCTCTTAGCGACTGCAACGTGGAGCCATCGAAAGGCAATGCTCCGCACACCAGCACGTACAGCACCACACCGAGACTCTGAAAAGGTCAAAACGTTAACATAAAGCGTTATAAAAAACAACTCCGGGAAGTTTTAAACTGAACTCTTTCGAGATATTTATGAACGACGCTCTATGACAGGACAATGCTGCCTTCCGCTAACTACAATGTGGCTAAGTGACAAAATTCTTTTTGAGATATTTTAAGAAACCATAACAGAGTTTTATTTATTGAAATTGTTTAATATTTCAGCTACGCATCGTTAGGGTAAGCGAACACGTTAGCTAATTTTAACTGTTTTTAAAAGATAATTTTGTGCTCTATCTTTTGATATTTAAAACGGATATTTGAACTTTTGTCACTTAGCCGCCTTTTAGTTAGTGGACGGCAGAATGTCTGGAGTTACCATGTCAGGTTTCGTGTCAATACATACGTGTATCTTCTTCTATCGCATCTATTGCATACACTATAAAAATGGAAGCAAATTAATTTGCTACTCCGCGAACCCAGAGAAGATTAAATCGTGCAAAATAGGCTGCGCGTGTGTTGAATATTTTTTCATGTAGATATAATAATAATAACACACACACTTAACATAGCCCCGCACTAGGGAAACTCTGTGTCGCGGGTGCCATGGACACACACATAGAAAACCACAAATTACACCCAAACTCACGAGAGAAATAAATGTAGGCAATACAAATATTTCTGCGTGGCAGTCCGGCGCGGTAACCGTTCGGCCACGGAGGCAGTTATATCTATTATATATCACGAAAGAAGTTAATTTTCCCATACTTCCACCGCATAAAATTAATAAAATAAGTAGCACGAGAGCGCGGCTACAGTCATAGACGTGAGACGCGTGTGTCACAGGTCTGTGTTTTGCCTCTCTACGAGGCATCCTCAGGGTTGTTGGTTATTCGACGCCCGGCCGAGTAACGCCTCCGCAAAGTAACGCCTGATTCTATTAATTGCATACACTATACTGTTGTGGTCCAGCCAGCCGCGCCGACCGCGCCATTAGTAGCCGCCATTAAATCCTCAAGCGTGCAGGTGTTAGGGGACGCAGGACACGATGTAAAGATGGGTCATCGTTTGAGTCGCATAGCAGATACAATTTACGTACGTGTATTATGTTATTTATTTACTTATTAGTTCAACTAATAACAACAGATAGTTATCGACATTTTAATGTAATCCCGTCTTTAAAATTTTTGATTCTGACTTTTAATTTTGTTTTAGACTTTATGATATTTTTGTTTTAATTGAATTTTATAACTTGATTCAATTTAATTAAATAGATTTTATGTTATTGATACCCTCATTCTCTATTACAGGGTTCACTATTTTGTTCATCGAAAATATTTATGTAGGTACATCATTTTCCACGTTCTTATACAAGCACTAAAAATGTACACCATTGAAAAGAATCTGTTTTAAGGTTGGTAATTTTATGGCAAACGTGTTTACAAATAACCCTTTTGTGTCTTTTCAAAGCAGAATTTTGCCGTAATAAACCAGAATAATACGAACCGTAAAAATATTTCTGACATGGCTTCTCTCAATGATTGATTTTTCTATTCACGCAGTTTTATGTTACCTCTAGATATGACGTCGTTGTGGAAAATAACTATTTCAAATTGTTAAAGGCACACGTTCCAATATAAAATAAGAACTTTCAGTTCCTTTGCATTATATCAATTGGACAAGTGGAAGCTATTGTCCCTGCGATAGGAAATTTTTTATGGAAACTCCCTAAAGTTCTTAAATGAAATAAACATCTCTGTAGGTGAGAGGCAAATAACCTTAAGTGCTTAATTAATATTTTTTACTACAGAGCGTTTTAAAGAGAATGAAGTTCGTAATTAGGCATTTAAATGCAATCTTAAGGTCGTATAAATATGTTAAATAAAAAACAAATGACGATGGAACTGTGAATAGAATGTTTTTTACCGTTGCGTGATTTTTGCATTCTAAAGCAATGCCAAAGTTAAATAATATTATTCCATAGGTAACATTTTTTAATGCTACGCTGACTTCCCTGGTAAGAACGGGCAAGAAACTCTAGTGATTACTCTTTTCAAATAAACTTAAATGTTATGAAATACAATTTGAATCATAATTGTGTGGAATCTAGACTCTTCTTGTCTTTCCATACATCTTTATCTAATACATGCTCGTCAATTTTCTAATATCACTTTTCCATTAAAATACTTTTGATGTAAGTTTTAAACTAAGAGCTGTTACACATGGCGACTTTAGCAGCGTTGCAAACTCCATGCAAGCGCACGACCCTGTCGATATAAACGCGCGATTGCATTGCTACACATGGGTCTTATAGGCGATTGCATCGATGCAATCGTGCGTTCGCTTCAATGCAATTAATATACAGGTATGTTTGTAAAAAGATTTGAATTCCGAAATATAAACAGAAGGTCCTTTACCTCTCACCTACAGATTATATTTTCGACTTACCCATATATCAATTTCAGGTCCCGTATACCGCTTGCCTTCAAAGACTTCCGGAGCAGCATAAGGAGGAGAGCCACACCACGTCGCCAGCAGTTCTCCCGTCGCGTAGTAATTGCTGAAGCCGAAATCAGCAATCTTGATGTTCATGTTTGCATCCAACAACAGATTCTCCGCCTGACGGAAAAAATTTGCTTACACATAGGAAATGAAACAATTTTTTCGGATTTAAATCGCGTATATTTATATACACGTATAGAATAGGGTAGTTTGGGCCCCTAATACTGCTAATTCTAAATCATCTCAGTTGTGTGTCGTTAGAGTCAATGGAAGGATTTTGTACAAACGTACAAAATACGGTATTCTGCTAAAAGTGAATACATATTTCAGTTATATGTAAAAAAACAGCTAGATATAGAAGCTGACTTGCACAAAATAAGTATAGTTTCACAACCATTAGGCATACAAATATTGAAGTTAGATTATACATTCACTTACATGCACTTTGACAGACTAAATTTTCTTTAAAGTATCACATGTCAGTCAGACACTGAGTGTTTAAAGTCAGTCAGTAATTCAAACGTCAATTATAATGTAATTAATAATTGTAAAATGTAACTAGATGTCAAGATAATAATAATAATATGAATGACATATTTTTGTAAGACTTTCGTGGTTAATCACTAAATGATTATCAGTAATATCAGGTTTGTGTGAAAAAAGTGAGTGACAGTGGTAACGCCACAACAAATCGCGATGAAGGTAGTCAGTCGTCGACAGCGCAAAAGGGTAGACAGATATGTCTGCTCTTAAAGCTGTCATCTGCCGCCGTCCAGTCAACCCGTGACCATGGAGCGTGCAACCGTTTCGAAATGTCGGGAAAATAAAAAGAAGTCATACCGTGGTAAGAAACCTGATATTAGTGATAATCATTTAATATGAATGACGTCAAAATAAATATACAAATGTCAAAAATTTGACAATGAATTTAGGGATTCATCATTTAATAATTCGGACAATGTAAGTAACTACATTATTTCTATTAGGCAATAACTTGTTTAAGGGCGCGTTTATGCGACACGAATTTCATTGCGCTGACGAGAGTAACTGATCTCATCAAGTACCTCAGTCCGTGACTTTGGAACCTGTAAAGCGCCCAAAACGTTGGTTTGTTTGAAAAGACAAATATAGCAGACCTAAGTCTAAACCCGAAAAAAATAGCTTCGTATCAAACGAAAATGACTTATTGACATTATAAAATGGAAACGGAAATTCTGACTGTAAATTTATTCTGTATGTAAATAACTTTATCTGTCCTTCGTAGTTGTGAACAGTCACCATAAAGGGGACGATGTGTACTCACTCGTTACCGTAATAAAATAAATGTTAAAATCGTCTAGAAGATTCTGTACAGTCTAGAACACATCGAAAGGTTTGGATCGTTCATATCGCAAGCAACATGGGTTGAATTTAAATCTTAGAGCGGTTACACACGGCGCCATTTAGTAGCGCGTCTGCAACTCTGAATGTCTATCTTGACACATAAGCGCGACATAGGAGTTGACTACCTCAGCTCGAATTCAACTTTTTCCAGTACTAATACGGTTCATTTTGCTTGAGTCGAGCGGCGTTATTTCAGAATTTATTTTTTTACAAATAAAATTAAAGCCATTTGAAAAATGAATATCGCATACTGTACGTGTTCTATTTACTTCAGTTGATATAAAAAAAATCGTTGGTATATGTAAAGTATTTATTGAATGCAGCGGTTTTCTTGTAAAATTTCGAGGTGAGTTTGTGTTTTTTTTTAGCTATTGTGAAAATTTGTTGGAATCGTGTTTTGACACCGTACAGCAATCAGAGTATATCCTCAAATCATCGAGTATATAAGCAGAAATAGAGATGAAATGTCATTTAATTTGTTTGAAAACTATTCTGCCATATCATTACTGTGACAACTGCGCTCCGATTGGCTAGCCCGAGTTCGAAACAATTGACGGGTGACGTCAATGGGTGTTGTCAACTGTTTCACTTCAAATCGACCAGTTAACTTGAGCTTTGCTATAATGGACGAAAATTGCAAAATTACATATTTAATATTGAAATGTGATTCCGTTTGTTTTGTAATTAGACGTTTTGCTGTTTTTCCCACACCACCGAATAGAACAGCACGGCATTGTTAGAGATGTTATCTTTATTACAATAAATATAGAATATTTTTTGGAATATACGGAGACGTACACACAGGTCAGTAGTTGGCCTGTCTATATTTCAGTGCAAACGGGAGTTGATATTTATAAGAGCTGTATCGCTAATGTGTTACCAGGAATATATGGCCCATATTTCGTCTCTATTTCTAGTTATATAATAAAATTAACAACATTCTTAGCATTCACCCCCTGCGCAGAGCGGAATGTAAAAAACTTATTATCAATTGGTTGACCACTCTCGACTATGAGTCGACTGAAAGTCTGCTTATTGTACTAGAATAGGTTGCATTCACATACACTGACATATGTACGCACCCAAATACACACACACACACTCACATACACACACACAAACACACACAAACACACACACACACACTTTCATTGCTTTGTTTTATTTTGTAATTAAAATATGTTACGTTTTTAATATACTAAGAGGGAGTGAGCCTGGTGATCTGTAACACAGGTACTAACCTAGTACAGACTCCAGCTCTCACTAAGGAATTTGTTATTTTACAAAAGCTGTAACTATGTATTACCTTTTTGAGAGAAATAAAGCATTTTGTATTGTATTGTATTGTATATACTCGATGCCTCAATTTTACTATATATTTTTCCAAAGCGATTAATTCAACACTTTCACTGTTAGCGGAATCAACTAAAGCCATTTGAGGCTGTATAGACTCTTAAACACACGGAATGCACGTTTTTAATGATGCAACATAACCGACTGCATCGATGCAGTCGCGCGTTTGCCACCTACAAACCGCAAGTGCTGCGATGTAATCGCGCGATTGTTTCTATGCTAAAGTGGCCATGTGTAACCGGTCTAAGTGTCAAGCCTAACACGCTCTTGACCCTGCACTAAATGCCACAAATTAAATTACATAAATGATGGCATTGCTGCGTCGCTGTCGCAATTTATTTTTGCTCGTTTAGATATTTTTATTAATAACTAGAAACGAAAGTGGATTTAAACATATATTGCATTCTGGAATTTTTTTTATGCTACCAAGTGACGGGGTGAACAAGTCGTGCGCCTGGTGGTAAGCTACACATCTGTCCATAACAGTTGCAGTGTCACTCAGAGCTTTAAATCACAAAGACCTGAGGGGCATTGCCACCGCGCCCGTCACCCTAAGATATAAGTTGATAAAGTCCCATGTGCCTGTAATTTCCCCAGCCAACCATTTCAAAAAGGAAACGCAGTAACGACGTTACTGCTTGGCGGCAGAAATAGGAAGGGTGGCGATTTTTTCCAGGATGAACTCTTTCATAATGAACACTGTTGCTATTAACTAAAGTCTACGAATTTTCCTGATTATGTTCCATTAGTTTTTTGATACTCCGCACACGGTGCGATTCCTTTATAGCAATTGTATTTCTCTAAATTTAAAATATCTGTACTATTTTCGCAAAGTTTGTTAGTTAAATCGACAACGAAAAGCTTTTAAACAGCGCTCGAAACCCACGCAAATTGTTTGGCATGCTCAATGGGTAAGTAGTTAAGAACATCTTCACAAATACTAAGTTTGGATCTCCGTAATCATAAAAATAAAGTGCCAGACTACTACACGTAGACTAGTACACTAATTAGTAAGAAGGGTATGGATGCTGGTGAAATTATAGGCACATGGGACTTGTCAACTTATGTTTCAGAGTGACCGACGCAGCGGCAGATCTTTGCGACTACAAGCTCTGAGTGGCACTGCATCTGTTATGGACAGGCGTGTAGCTTACCATCAGGCGCACGACTTGTTCTTCTCGTCACTTAATATTACAAAAAAAAAACCCTATAAAACCTAATAAAAAAGACAAAATCAAAATCAAAAATCAAAAGTAAATTTTCTATGTTGTGTTTGTGTTACTTACACAAGTGTTTTAGTTACTTACTTTGGGAACAGAGCAACGTGTGTTCTGTTGCCTAATATTTGTGTAATATGTAATATTGCGAGCACTAATTATAGGCAAAATACGTACACGGTGCGTGCTTTGAGACTTTATAACAATGCGACAGTAAATCATTCTGAGTTTGATTTGTTTTGTTCAAGAATAGACACAGTCAGGCGTGAAATGACCAAACGTCACTTTGACACATCACGTGATTGGCGATGAATACACTGGTATGTTCGTTTAATTCTTGTTAAGACTCTTTTTCTTTTACCATCCTCTAAGGTTTAATTGTATATTAATCATTGACTTACAAATAAATGGACGACGGGTCTAATACAAAAACCACGAAAAAAATGTCCCAAGTCAACCAATTCGAAATTTAAATTGTTATGTCATCGCAGTATCGCGCTGTCCGTAGAACAAATGAAGACTAAAGCGGAGTGTCGCGCTCTGTATACGATTTTACTGCCTTACAAGTGCGGACACTTTTTAGCGCGGACCCGACGTCCATATAATTGTAAGTCAATGGATTTTAATCAAGTTGTTCATTATCGCAAATATAATGATGACCTCTGTGGCCCAACTGTTAAGGTAAGAGTGCGTCCAGGGAAGTACTGCCACCTTACCTATTTCTGCCGCCAAGCAGTAACGTGAGCATTACTGTGTTCCGGTTTTGAAGGGTGAGGTTGCTGGTGAAATTACAGACACATGGGAGTTTTCAACTTGTTTCGGGTGACGGGTGCAGTAGCAACGCCCCTTAGAAATTTTTGCGATATAAAGCTCTGTTATGGACAGGCGTGTCGCTTACCATCAGGCGCAAGACATGTTTGTCCCGTGGCAGTCCGGTAACCGTTCGGCCACGGAGGCAGTTGTAATAAATCATAAATGTTACAATTATCGTTGAAAAATGTCAATTACGCTGATTTCGCTTAATAAAACAGAAAGTAAATAAGATATAAAAAAACAGCTTATAGGGTAGTGTAGATCTTGTTCCACTAATTTCAGATATGTTGATAACTAAATTTTGATAAAATTGTCGATTACGATAGTTATGATCAGGAGGGCAGTATAAGTATGGACATCTACTTTTGAAATAGTCTCGAAAGTCTCGTTTTACTCGGCATTTTCGAAACGCCACCGAATCTCGACCTACTTGCCTGGACTGAAAGTTCTACTTGGCAACTAGACATTCACAGTAGTACGTAACTCGGAAATTAAAGTTATTCAATGGCGAAACAACCGTTCTCCCACTCATCTACCACCGCTCTTAAAATAAATTATTTGTTAATGAATAGTCGTTTTCCTCGAATTATTGCCAAGAAGTGTAAAGAATGACGTCTGTACTATAAAATCTTACTTCATTCAAATTCAGTATTTATATTTATGTAAACCTTCAATAAAGACAACAATCCAGATCATCACGCCAACGTAATTTCAAACTGTGCAGTTGCCATGAGCATCAGAGCAAAGAAAATAACTTCGACGACCAAAATATTTTATAGCAGTTTATATGAGCGGAGTTTGAGTATTTTTATTCAGAGAATAATGAACGCCCAGAATAGAGCCAATTCAGAAAAGGTCATTTCCCAAATTGGACCAGGAGTCAAACTCGGGACCAACTCTACAATGCCCAAAGTGCAACCGTTGTGTTACCAAGGTCTCATTCACTGTTCCATAAGCTAGTTAAGCTTATCAAACAGTGGATAACCTTCGTTAGTTATAAACTGCATAGAATCTTATTTGATTTTTTATTCTGGACTTAAGTAATCATGTATAAAACATATTTTAATTACCCCGTTTCGGACGTATTGCAACGTCTATTCGAAGGGACTGAAACGGCGCGTGTCAGCACCTTCTAGCCGTGCGAGTTTTTCTAAGTATCCGCACTTAATCTTCATTATTTATTTGTGCACTAGGGTTGTTGAGTGGCAAAAATCAAATAATGTGTGAAAATCGTAAAGTTTAAATTTATAGAATCTGAAACCTAATATCGACAAACGTTGTGTGAAGAATCTTTTCACCCAAATAACGTTTGGCCGAAGTTGAATGAAATCTCATTGGGCCGATCTGATATTTAAAACAAGAAGATGAGCACAGACAATGCATTGTTTGTATTACAATGTAATTTATTCACGTCGATAGACAATCTAGCATTGTGTGTGCCTCATTCACGAGTGGTAAATAATGTGAAGGTAAGCCCGCAAAACGATCACACATGAGATATCTGTTAGCACCATAAAGCGGTCTCCACACTTGTCGATGCGGGATCGTATTAAGCCGATCAAAAAAGCTTTTTGTTCCTGTCATAAGAGGGAAAAAAGATATTGCGCGTTTCATTTCCTTCTTTTTCGATCTTCTTTTTTTATCATGTCAATGCTTCTTTTATTTTATATTAAAACTACATTGACTATTTTGTTGCCATCTTGACTGTGATACCCGTGGCCGCACAGAGTTTCTTTATTGATATCAAGTAACGGGACGAACAAGTCGCGCACTTATCCCTGACAGTTAAGTTGCAACTTAAATCACAAAGATCTGGCACTGCCACTGCGTCCGTCACCTTGAGACATAAGTTGACATTTCCCTTGTGCCTTTAGTTTCACCAGCACCCTCACCCTTCAAAACCGGAATGCAGTAATGTCCACATTACGAACGGCATACGACCACGTACTGCATGGACTGTGTCGGGGCACCGCAGTCACATTGAAAGAAAGAAAGAAACTATTTATTGCACAAGCACAGACACGCGTAAAAATAAATCAACAGAGGAACAAAAATACAAAATATTAAAACAATTGACATAATTACGCAGTACCTAATACACCGTCATGAGTGTCGCGGCTGGTGTAATCGGGACTTGCTCAGCTTTAGCCACAAACGGTTATTTTTTTAAACCGTTTCGTGGCGCTTATTTTCAGCAAGCCCAGGGCGAATAAGCCACTGACAATAATAAAGAAATCAACAACGGGTTAGATAGCATCCTTGTCCTCCATTTACATATCTTGTAAGTGACGTACCCGGGTGCGAAGGTGATTAAATGACTCCCACTTGAGTCACCGCTGATTTCACTCTTATCACACGAACATAAAGCTTTTTCCGTCCGTCTCAAGTCGATGCCGTCTTAATAAGTATGAAGACTCCTTAAGTATGATAACCCAAGACGTTGTACCTACCAGTATTAATAGATCTTAAGAAATCTACAGTTTTGCTATCCGCTAATAAGGCCGTGTGTCAGTTTACACTGGAAAATATAATCGACACCGTGATCGCGCTTACTTTACTGTTTGAATTTAATGTCAGTGTAAACAATAAACATATAAAAAAATGTCTCCAGAGGAGTTACACAGAATATTTAAACCTGTTTATAAAAAATATATTTGCTTAATTGTTTCCATCGAGAAGCAAACGTGTCGGAAATTGAATTCAACATTCACGTGTGCCCACAGAGGCCTATTGAAACCAAGTTTGTCATAGCCCAAAATGTACGTACTGTAGGTTGCTTGTGTTGAGTATTATGAATGGAAATTGTAATAAATATAGAATTTTACGCTTTCGCGATTGCTACACATTGGAAATGAAACTATTTTTATCTGACTTCGAAAAGGGAGGAGTTTGGATGATTCTTTTTTTTGTTGCAAAGTACCTAGTTGCGGTCCTATTCAAATTTGAAGAAAATATTCCTCATCTTTGGGTGGCAAAGGGGATTAATTCGATTTCAATAAAACTTGGCAAACAGATGTGAGTTAGTCAAAGAAAAGAGTTAGGCATGTGAAAAATTATTTATTCTTGCTGCTACCTATTCCGTCGTGTGTCGTCCATCGAGTGTGGGATTGCTAAATCTTAACGCATGCATTATAATAATTTAGGCGATGGTTGAACGTATCTAAACGCGGGAGCGAGAGGAAAGGAGTGTGTAAGAGAGAGGGATGATTCGAAATTCTAGAAGAGAAGACGAGGCTTTTGGTTATAGATGGGTTATGCGGACGACATATGACGGAATAGCAAGTAGCAAGAATAAATAATTTTTCACCTACTTATCCCTTTTCTTTGACTATCCCACTTAGACGTAATTCCACAAAGTTTTGAAGTCGATTTTTTTATAATTTCGGATCTAAATAACATATATTTCTCTTTTGTTCAGACATTCGTGCTCACTATTTGAAACTGAAATACTTTCATTTCCAATTTCAATAAAGATCATGAAAAAGTAACAAACCTTAAGATCCCTGTGCACTATCCTTCTCTCGTGGCAATATTCGACAGCGGATAGAATTTGCCAGAATTTTCTGCGCGCCGCCGGCTCCGCCATTCGCCCGTACCTCGCGATGTAATCTGAATCAAAATAAATATGTTTACTATGGTTTTGAATAAATTGCATACGAATTTATTGATAGTAGCTATAAATAGGTCGTATGCTGAGTAAATAGAATATGAAATTTTCCGGAAAAATAAAGGCATTAGTAACTTCCACAAGAAAGTTTTGATAGTTGCGAATTCGTATACAAAAACGATAAAAAACGAATTACGTTGTGTAAAAAACTTCATGGAATCGTTTGACGATTTATAACACAATATCGAACACAATCGCAATTTGAAACAGCAACGCTTGATTGCGATAGTATTGATACAATCGAAAAATTTATGTTACAAGGCAATTAGCTGTCAGAATCAAGTGTAAACGTACTCAATACTTAGACAATGCAACGCTACAACGCTAAACGCCCCGTATACTAAAGGTTCAAACGGAGTAAACAAGGCCGAAAACCGGTTAAAACCAACCATACCATACCATATTGCTGTGATACCTCAAATGAATCACTCGACAACTTTTCCACCGCGTGACAAATTGTTTTTCGTAATCTGTAAATATTTTCCTAATCGTGTTTGAATTTTGTCCAAATAGGTATAATCCGTTGTATTGATTCGGTGCGTTTAGTAATGTTCTTCCTTCTAGCTACTTAACGTAGACAATCCTTCTACGATATCTGTGAACGATGTGGTAGAAGGGTGCTTGATGACCTTATCAAAGTAGTGGGGAACAGTTAGATGAAGAAGGCACAAGACTGAAAGGAATGGCGTGCACAAAGATACCTACACGAAGCACACAGCCACACAGCGTGCCCGCTCGAAACTATCAAATCGCGTTGTCATACATTTTTAGTTGTAGCCCCGATCAAATCTGTAGATGATTCATAGCGAGAAACAAGCCTTAACTACGGGTTGAAAAGAAGAAGAGATACTTAACAGCGTCTTCTAATAATAATGTGCCTCCGTGGCCGAATGGTTATCATGCTGGCCTGCCACGCAGAGATCCCGGGTTCGAGTCACGAAATATTTGGTGAATTTTATTGTACCTAGGAATACACATTATTATACAATAAAAGAAATCAAAAATTGTGTACACAAAGGCAAGTTATCGAATAAAATTCCTGGCAGTTAACACGATTTGCAAAATATTTTATTTTAACAATATGATTTTTTTTCCTAAATAAACATATTAATTAAAAATAAAATAGAAACAAACTAAATATAAAATACGTTTATTGTACGGCATAAACAATATTTTAGATTTTTTATTAACTCGTGCGTGGTGCACAACAACAACAAAAATAATATTGAACTAAAACTGAATCAACTTTTAATCCAAACTACTTAACTTGGAAAACAATACCTACACGAAATCTCTCCAGCTGCTACCACTTCGCAAAGACGAATTTTCTGCTATAATTCACACTAATTTCATGCTAGTTTAATAAATTCATACTAGCAAGAATTGAGTTTGACCCAGTTTCCGAATTAACCTTCAATTGCTCCACTTCCTTCCCAAAAACATTCTGCATTTGAAAGTCTCATAATTATTTCGTAATATCTACAGAGATAAAGACGTACACTTAGTACAAACAATATAAATATCAAAAATCATTACAGTTTCAAATAAAATATACATACGATCGTCTGGTCTAATTATTATTATATTACATTAACCAAACTTCCACTTAGGCTTCGTTTTCCGTCAAGAATGAAGCATTATCCAATTTGTACCATACGAAATTAAAACCATGCCGAGTCGATGTCCTTTACATTTGTAGTACCTACTATTAAAGATCCGCTACTTAAGGGAGTCACCAGACTTTAACACGGAGTCGGCTTAAGCTGGTGAGAAAAAGCATTATGTCCATGGAATACGCAAGTTAGAGCGATGCCACGTAATGCTTTGCGACGCATAAGTGACGCTGCGTTGTAATACATATAAATTAGAACTACATGCCACATGGTGCGTTGAAACGGCGTGCAGCGACGAATCGCGTGCACATCGGACCAGGGGCCAGGAGAGGAAGCGGGGAGGGGTGCTGCGGTGTGTTTGCAACCTGGGCGCGGCGGCGTATTGCGACACCGCACTGTTGTGGTACTCGGTGCGTTGAAATCATAGTGTTGCGGCGACGCAACGCCCGTGCGGCATCGTTATTAGTACGTTTCGCATGGGTTGGGCGTAGTGGTCCGAGCGGAATCAAAATGCGCAATTTTTTCGCTTTTATTACACGGACTAATCCGATGCCCTAAATGTTCCGGGGCATCTCCATGCAGGTAGTCCCCCATGATTAAGAGGGGGATGGTGTAGGGGTCCGCCCCGGACCGGCACCAAAAATGTTATTTCTATTATAAGTTGTTCATTATGTATCTTGTACATCATGCGTACGCTCTAAGAATGCGTCAGAAAACAAACGGTACGTAAAAAGTTATTTTAAATTTGTTGACAAAGACATTATTAACACGAAGATTAAAAATAAACTGGCTATTCTTAACAGTCGTTTTCCCAAAGTCACAAATTCATATGTACCTACACGCTTCTATAATAAGATTCCGGTTGCTATTCAGATTTTGCTATTTACGAGGTTTAAAAATATAGTGATACAAAAAGTTTAAAGCTAAAAGTTACAATGTCTGCGTACTTGGATGATAAATTCCGTGGTAGAGTGTTAGCTCTTACAGGTTGTTTTTATCTACGATATTTGGAATAAATATTGTAAATTACTAATTTAAATAAAAATGCCTATTTACAAAGTGTTACAAGAATTTCTTCTCAGGATAATATATAGGAGAATAAGCCTTACAAATGAGTAGTGCGCGTTCGTTCTAGTGTACTTTCTTTTTTCTTTTCACCCATTTATTCGGATACGCAAAGTTTCTACCATACAGACTCTTCGTTCCTGGACATATAATTCTAGCCACAATGCATTTTTATTCTTAAAAAGCTAAAAATATTTACTAAAAGTAGAGCCTCCCTGTGAAAGAGTTCGTTCGGGGAAGTGCCACCTATTTCCGCCGCCAAGCAGTAATGTGAGCATTACTACTTTCCGGTTTGAAGGGTGAGAGTGGTATCATTAAAAGAAAAAAAAATATGGTGGAAGACGAAAAAATGGCGGGTTTTTGTAGTTAGTTTTTACGTCACAAATTTTTAGTTTAAGTATTATTACGTTTTGAGTTTCTTAATTATTTATTACCTGTTTAAGCGGATGGCTCCATAGCCAATGCTCAATAAATAAATAAAAAATAAATGATCGAAGAGGTTAATTTTCTCCGGTTTTTGAAATTTAAATTTTGAACAAGAACTTCTGGAAATGCGATATATGGAATAATTCCAAAATTGTATAATCGTTTTTTCGTTTTTGACCAATGAAACATTGTTTAAGCTCAGAGCATTTAATACTGAAAATGCAAAGTGGCTCGAATAACAAGTCCGGGGCGGTAATACCGTCGCTGTGAAATAAAGACGTTACATTAAGCGAAACGTCGGTTTGTTTGAAAAAACAAATATACGCGATTTAAATCCGGAAAATAGTTTCATTTCCTACGTGAGATTAAGTTTTTCTTAAGATAACGACCTACCCTACTGCCATAAGAACAAGAAGACAAAGAGACTGATATCAGATCTTTATAGATCGTTTTGCGCGTCCTGGATTTCTCTAACCTGTTTTTGACTCTGAAATGGTGATGCTATTGTGCTGTGAAAATAATGCTCGTATTTATTATCAGCAGAAATTATTAAATATATCCCTTGAACACAAATAGTTATTTGTTATGAAAGGCTGTTATGAAACCTGAGCATGCGAAGGGTCCTGGGAGTGGTCCAAAATTAGAATCCTGAGCGTAGCGAGAGAGGGTTTCAAGGTACGAGACGCAAAAAAACCTTGCTGCCGAGCGAAGAACACAAATTTTCACCTCACCATAGCGAGGAAAATGGTAAATGAAAGAAAAGCAGTTGAACTATAACAATCAGTTTAAATAAACAAAATTTGGTTATCGTTGTCAATTTAATGTCAACAAATATACCAAGGGATTTATATTATTACATAAGTAGTGTACGACAAATCGCGCACTTGAACGTGTCATTCTGTTTTTTTTTTTCAACGAAAGAAAAAGTTAGGTGCACCACAGTTCATCGTCAAGATTGAATTTTGAAAACGCTTTTGCGCGCAGATTTCTAATGAAAAAGGAAGCCTTCTCGAGCTAGTGAGCTGAAAAATACCTTGTACAAAAATTACATTGTCAGCTATAGAACAAAATTATTATACTTTCAGTAAATGTAAATAAGACTTACTATTATCATAACGAACGCATTTGCATCACGGTAACTTTCGAGATATTGGCACCTAAAGGTTCTTTGTGACCTAAAAAAAGTCCACAACTCTGATCTTGCTTAACAATTAAACTAAATAAAATATTAAAAAAACGATGTCTACAACCCTCTCCAATCGGTTGATTAGGAGGTTTGTAGACATCGTTTAGCTGATTCCAGTTGTGTTAATTACGTAATTTCGCTAAAAATGTCGACTACGTTAGTTATGATAAGGATAAGGAGGTCAATATAGATTAAAATAACAGTAGTGGTAATCTCTTCTGTTCCGTCTACTGTTGTTGATTGGATTTATTCTTATAACAAATACAATATATTAGAGATGTCACGAATAGTGATTTTGCCGAATACCGAATATTCGACCACGCTCTCGGCTGAAGCGCCAAATATTCGGCTGCGGTATGGTTGAGCGTCAGATCTGTGCGTTTTACACACGACCTTTTACGACCTGTCTCATTGCGCTGCGTGTTTAGGTAACGGGGATGGGGTGATTTTGTTGAAAAATGATAAAACGGTGGAATCAATACATGACAGTTTCTGGACCTGTTTTGAAAAAGTCGCTACAGATAATATGCAAAATTATGAGGATGTGGAGAAAAGTTCTATTGCACATGAAATTTATTTTTATTTGAAAACTGTTCGTCTAGATCGGACGGCAGATCCTTACAAGTGGTGGTCTGCAAACGCAAAACAGTAT